AAGGTGAAAATTTTATCAAAGATACAAAAATAGACTAAAAATATACATTTCCTCAAAGTTTTTTTTAATGAAAAGATTGTGAAAAAGAGGATATTATAATATGAAGCAAACAGAGCGTGAGTTGGTAGAGCATTCCGCTCAGTTGAATATACGAGAAGAGTACGTCGCATGGGAACAGCGTTGCGATGTGTTTATCGAATCGCTGGAAGAACAGAGTCGTGTTAAACGATTATCGATTGGGATCAAACAATCGTTGATCGCTCGTATCGCGCGACTTGAAAGTTTTAAAGAGTCAGTGCGTGATTGTTTTGTGCAAGTGGGTGCCGGGTACAGTGCGGAACTCCGATGGCGTGAGATAGATACGGCATTCGAAAGCCGTATACTGACTGGTGCCGTGAACTCCAGGCACATCAAGCCTTGCCAATTCCTCGAAGACGCGAGTGAAATTGTGCTGAAACGTGTGCGAGACGTTATGCAGAGACATAACTCTATAAAGATAAATATTGTATTCAATGGTGAATTCATAGCAGGTGATAAACGTGTGAATAAAAATATCCACAAGAAATTATGAATTCTTCAATACATATGATTTACAAGAATGGTAAGCGTCGCGCATCATCGAGCCTATCCTAGCATCACTGGAGGAATTCCAGGAACGCGATAATGGGCGCTGAATTTGACTTTCAACAAATACAATCCGTTGCACGCAGATTATCACATTGAATTATCGCGAGAGATTAAGATAAAGAAAACAGTAATCAACGTGCAATTCATGGACAATGCGTGCTTCGCGTCAGTGGCTGCCGTACACACACACCGTTTCTACACGGCTAGTAATCATACAAATCGAGAATCCTCATATCAGCACTATAATACCGTATTAAATCTCCAAGGCTTCAGTTTCCATGACACTGAACTAAATAATAAAATTCGAAAATCAGAATAATATCTCCGTCAATGTACAGTATTGAGGAACAGAAAAAAATTCTTCCGACTCACCAGCCAAAAGAGGGACAAGCATGTTAATTTGCTGCATGTAGGATCCAAGATGATAACGCGAGGCATTTTGCGTTGATTAAAGATCTGTCCCGCCTCGTGAGATCGCAAATTATTAGATCCAAGTATAAGAAATATTTCTACGATCGGTAAGTATAATGAGAAAAAAAAATCGATAAAACAATATTAAAAGAAAGTAGTAAATATAATAATAATTTTGTATGATCTTTTCAGGTGTCTATATTACTTCAATACAAATGAAAAATTACAGTCACACTCAGTAGACTGCGGTAAAATGAATGACTGCACCATTCGATTGCCTAGCGAGGAGTGACTAAGCTTCAATAACTACTGCAGGAAGAAGCGCATCTTATTCGTGATCTACGCCGACCTGAGGTGCACATTGGAAAAGATGGAGAGAGAATAAGTCTACACACATGTATCAGCAACACAAGGTATTCAGTATCGAGTATTACACGCGTTGTTCGATTCGCTGTCGAAATATTGTTTTCGTTGCAGTAACGATTGTATTGCGTGGTTCATCGAGGAACTCCGAATCTAGCGCATAAAATAAATATTGTCTTATCTACTAATGTTCCCATGGCAGATTTCATGCGAGACGATTGACAAAAATTTGACAGCACCATGCACTGCCATGTGTGCGAAAAACCGTTCGCGCCTGACGACACACGAGTACACGATCATTGTTACTTGACAGGGCGATTTAGAGGCCCCGCACATTCAAATTGTAATTAAATTACAAAGATTCACACTGTTTTACCCATAGTTTTCCATAATTTATCGAGATACGATTTCGCATTTTATCATCAAAGAAATAGCCATCACGTACGAAGGACGTGTAGACATACTTCCTATAACTAAAGAAAAATATATTTCCACAAAACATGACAGAACTAAAAATGAGCAGAAGAAAACTTGTGTAAAATTATGTTTTATAGATTCTTGTAAATTTCTCGCATCAAGTTTAGAAACATGAAGTTTAACGTTGATATCTCGATAAAGATAAATTGAAAATTATACAGTCAGAATTTTTTAATCTCAGCGCAGAGGATTTCGATCTGCTCGCGAAAAGGTGTATTTCCGTACGAGTACATTGACTACGTCGAAAAGTTGGAGAAAACCGAACTACCATCGCATGATTTTTTTTTAACGGATATTATAATTCTTTAACGGATAACACGGTATCTAAGAGCGCACGCCGTCAACATGTGGCGACGTTCTCCATTCAAACGCTCGATGAATATAGCGACTTGTATCTGTAAAAACAGATGTCTTGTTGTTGGTCGAGAATATATTTGAGAATTTCCGTGATAGTTGCATCGCGAGTTACAGGCTCGATCCCGCGTCTATTATATTTTACCGAGTTTCACGGAGATGCCATGTTAAAACATACCGGTGTAAAATTTGAATTGCTCACAGATATCGACATGGTCATGTTTGTCGAGCGCGATATACGCGGGCTGAGTCAATGTTCCAACAGGAACGCACAGGCTAACAACAAATATAATGCAGTTGTACAATCTTATGTATTTCGACATTAACAACTTGTACGATTGGGCAATGTGTCAACCATTGCCATACGCCGATTTTCAATGATGTAGAAAATTTTAACGTTATGGATGTCGCATTAAATTCCTCGACAGACTATATTCTCAAGGTGGACTTGGAGTATCCACAACATCTCCATAATATTCATGCGGACCTATCGTTTTGCTCAATGCGCGAGAAATCATCCAGAAGACAAGCTCCTCGCTATGTTACATGATAAAAAGCGTTACGTGATTCAATCGTAATCTAAGTATATCAATGTACTCGCTACTCTTCGCATCACAAAGATCCATCGTATTGCAATTCGCGCAATCTTCATGGCTTCGTGAGTATATCGAACTCAATTTAGAACTCGCGCGAACAATGAGTTTGAGAAAAATTTATACAAACTAATGAACAACGCGGTTTTCGACAAGGCCATGAAGAATGTGCGCAACTAAGTCGACATGCGACTTTTAACGCGTTGGGAGATAAGGTGTAGAGGCAATGATCGCGAAATCAAATTTTCATAGTTGTAATCTTTTTCATAGTTGTTGTCTTTTCGCTTGGCGAGAATTTGGTCGCGATAGAAATCGCGCAAATTCGAGGTGAAATTCAGTAAACCGATATACGTAAGTATGTGCATCCTTGATATATCTAAAACATATTTGTATGATTTTCATCATGAGTATAATACCGCTATTTCGTGATAAATGTAAAATTATGTATATCGATACTGATAGTCTCATATATCATATGGAATGTGACAATGTATATAACATTATGAAACATGATATAAATAGATTTAACACAAGCGATTACTCTATCGATAATCCATACGATACATCGCTCGCAAATAAAAAAATTCCTGGTCTCATGAAAAAGAACGAGAACAATGATGCCATCAAGACTGAATTCGTTGGACTTAGAATGAAAATGTAAGCTTTACGTACAAAGAAAGAAGGAAACGAAAAAGGTAAAGAGTGTCAAGAGCAACGTTGTGGCAAGATCCATAATGTTCGAGGATTACACTCGATGCTTGAATGACGCAATCGAAATGTCGCGCAGGCAGTCGTACATTAGATCAAAATTGCACGAGGTGTACACAATTTCGGAAACAAAAGTCGCTTTAAGTCCGATGATAAATGATACATCATGCTGAGTTCCACCGACACGCTGCTATGGAGACATTACCGGTGTAAATAAATTTGTATATAGTATGTATATATATTAGATGTACAATTTTGCTTCCGCCGTTTTTTTTCCGAAATTCGAGGCTTTATTGTAAAAAACTGGTTATACATTTATGATTCAAAGTATTGTCCATCGCTGGCCACTACTTTCTCCCATCGGGTAGCGTACGAATCCCGCGTCGAAAAAACTGATCATCTTTTGAGCCTATCCACGAATTGATCCAATTTTTTACTTCTTCATAAGACCGGAAGTGCTGGTCAGCCAGGCCGTGTGCCATTGATCGAAACAAGTGATAGCCAGAGGGAGCAACGTCTGGAGAATACGGCGGGTGGGGTAGGACTTCCCATTTCAACGTTTCCAAGTATATCTTGACCACTTTCGCAACATGGGGTCGAGCATTGTCGTGCTGCAAAATCACTTTATCGTGTCTTTCATTGTATTGCGACCGTTTGTCTTTCAATGCTTGGAACCACTCAATGACACCACTCACGACAACTTCTCTCACTTAAGGCAGCATCACCATATGCTTCTACAAGCAATCTATGAGCCTCAGCTGCAGATTTCTTCAAATTAAAGAAGTAAATCAAAAGTTCCCGCAAATGATGCTTATTCGGCTCAAAATTTGATATTTTGGTACAAAAAAAAAATAAATGCTGATACAAAATTGCTAATATTTCAAGGTTATGGTGTTGCTGGATGTCCAATCTTACGATAGTACGATCGTTTTACATCAAACAATTTATTAGTGGCGCCATCTTTTGCAAACGGCGGAAACTTATTTGTACTCAATATATATAAGTAATAACTAAGCATATTATATATAAGTCTAAGTATCTATCTCATCTTATTATCGTATCTTCTCCTCCAAGAATTCGCTAAAAGACTCAATGAAGTCCAACAAATCTTGAACCTCCCGGTTAGGAAATTCAATATCATCCTTAACAACTTCATCTTGATTTACAACATCATGAATTGAATCAGCACGCTGTAGTGGTATGTGGGACAACATGATTACAGTATAATTGAATATCGACTAAGAAAGCAAAAAGAAAGGCGGAAAGAAATATAATAAAATATACGAAAAAATTTTTTTTGCATATGTTATCAACAAAAACACCAACCAATAATGATACATTTATTTCAGGTCAGATGATCGCTGGTTCAACAATCGGACAACATATAAAGAACGAAGCTTGCAAAGTAAAAAATTTTTTATATGAGTCAGGATTATATTATGAAAAGTTAGGAGAATTATAGCAAACAGAATCATCATAGAAGCTGGTGATAAATATTGATATTGGCTCGATAAATAAGCGAATTCACATACTACAAGATTATATCGATCATGTTCATCACCTGTGTAAAATCCAGAAAGACGCGAAAATATGAAATAGCTAATCGAAACAGGAAAATAGTTACTTTAGTCGATCGAATAAACACCATTTATCAAACAACCCAAAATAAAAAATGTGGATTGATGGAAGGCTCCATTAAGCTAAAGCACTTTTTGGCATTATGGATGCTTCAGATGAAAAAAATTATTAAAGAACAAGTTACGATTCTGAATAATAAACAGCAAATACTTCATCATTATGGCAAATCAATTAAAAATTCTAAACACCACAATCGCGCATATCGATAAGTTAGAAGAAGTAACCAGTTACAATGCTCAATTACTTTTTAATACTAGAATAAATAGCAAGATGGCCAAACTTAAGAGAGAAAATGAAATATTTTCTTACATTAAACGCCATTATTACGGACATCTTGCAAAATATAAATTGTATTATCGAATACTTCATTTTTGTTGAAGAAGGAAAACTACATCCTAGGATTATACCAATAAATGATCATAACCAACCTGAAAGAAGCTCAAATACATTTGCCATTTCTTTTTCAGCAGTCAAATTAGCTTGAGATAGAAAAAAGCATCACTGTCAGTGCGTGTTATGATGAACAAATATATACACCATTTTGAAATTCCCTCTAATCTCTTATCCGAAATATGATATACTTAAGATCATACCATTACTCACATCCGACCATGATAATGTATTCATTCTGAAGATCAGACCATAACCGTAGATAACGAAAATCAGCATAATGATGACATTAACACGCGAAAATTAAGATGTAAACAAATTGACTATACTTATATTTGAGAACACACCAATCCTATATACCACGAAAATACAAATTTGTTATGTGAAATTCAAATGTATATGCAAAATTCTAATTCTAAGATATTGTGTGTGTAACATGATATATTAAATCTAATCATTCCATATGGATAGTCCTCGAAAATCAACGAGCATGGCTATACTCCATCCTTATGAACAAACATCCTTACAAACAAACAAAATAATTTACTATAGACTGTAAAAATCGCAAGGAATATAGAACGAAAAATTGTAAGAACGGGACAAATTGCATAATTGCAGAAAAGTAAATTAACAATTGCAGACATGATTGTAAAAACAATAGAAACCATCAAAGCTACAACCATTCAAACTCGCTTACCAGAGTACAATTTAATCCGTTTGCGAAAACTAGAGCATAAGGACTTAAGCTAACCGGAACTAGGAAAATTAAGAAAAATTATTCGCGACCCGACGGAATTAATGGATCTAAGCGTTAAACTACAAGATGTAACAGCAGAATTAAAAAACGCATGAGAGTCATTATTTCTGCCGGAATCTATTTTATATTTATATATATATATATATATATATAATTTCGAATTGAACTATTATATTAATTATTGTAATTATTGTAATAATTGTATATACTCTAAATATTGTATCAACAAACGAAAGACTCGCAGGGCGAATGTAAACAAATCCCGTGTAGAAAAAAAAAGAGAAAGGAGATTTTCATAGAAAAAGTCAAATCTCTGTTTTCTTTTTTCAACGAAGAAAGGATGTTATGACTCAAATAGGTCATACTCAAAATCTGCAACGTCTGCAGATTTTCTGCAGACCAGCAGTTAAATCATTACAAATCAAGTCACCTATTTTTTATTAAAAAACAGGTGACTTTAATTTAATGCAACCACGCATTAATTCAGCCTAATTTGTAAACATAAAAACGTAAACCTCGAGGCCGTTCCGAAAAGTCAAGAAGACACATGACTACTGTGAGAATCCTCGGTAATGCGAGACGTCATAAGATTATAACACATCGAGTATTCGTAAGTGACAATAAATCTTCTTATATCACGAACGCTAGTCTATATTATTGTAATTGGAGGATCTCGAATCCTTACGACATCATGTCCAATCTGTGATTCCGCCACGTCCGGAGCGACACATTGTACTTCGACGGTACGATTAGTTAACGGTTGACTCGTAAATTCTATAAACGGTGCCCGAAGCGATATCTTTGCACCCTGAGCGGTACAAAAAAAGTTTTTCCCTGAATCCGGGAACTATAATTTCATAATACAATACTTCGAAGCGGTCACCCATTCAGTTGTATACCGTCCATTATCCTTGACTTTTGAAATCATCTGGAAACTGCTGCACTTCGATGATTCACGAACACCTATATAATTATGGATGTATAGCTATGACATCTGTTCAATATATGGTCTTGATAAAAATTTGTGCAGTTCTGAACATCCAGTCAGTTCTCTGTCTAATATTTAATTTTAATGTTATAATGTTATGACTATTTTCAAGTTAGAAAATCATACGCTCTACTTTCGCAGTACAAGTTATCTTGCGTTTTTAATTAGAGATTTTCACAATCTCTCCTATCGATAATGATACGCCGTATTGATATGATACGGGTTATATATCATGATGTACCTAAATAGTATGCAGTATAGGTGTTGATATAGCGTACTGTAATATTATGTACACTTTTTGAACTGCTACCGTACAGTTACACCGCCACCTCGTATAGTATCAGTATAGTATCAGTACAGTAGCGATATTTTGTGCGGGTATTTTGGGATATCGCATACTTGGTTAACTAGGTTAGTATATCGATAGTCGTTGGTACTGACATATATCTCTTTATCCGAAAGATTGGACTATTTAACAGACGCGTCTCCGGATGGCGGATAGAAGGACGTCCGGAGACGGGCCGGATTTCTCAGAGATGTGAAAACCTATGTGAATCGCGGGAACACTCCGGATAATGGCGGCTATAATCGGCTTCTCAGATATAAAACTCTGGTAGGAGTCGGGAAGGTTACCGCTGCGGAGCAACCTCCCAACTATCGTGTAAACTATCGTGATGAGGGCTGCATTACTGGGGAGCAATGTCTAATGATGCCCTTGGGGTATCCCCCCGGCGAAACACCATTGTAGTCTTCCATATGTGCAGATGGCTCCGCATACAAGTGACCGCATATTTCCCTCACATTCGTGGGATCAGAATAGAGGACAATCAAATATTAAACTTAATTCTGAAAATAACGAGGGAACGAAACGAATCTCGAAATACGTAAATTGAGAAGAAGCTTTCAGGAGCGGCGATACGAAAGATAAAGAGAGAGGAGGCGAAGAATGGACTTCTACCTATCTAGGGGATACAAGATCCCTAGGGCTAATCATCACTCCAGCTATGACCACTCTACCTACGGAGAAGAGGCCGAGCAAAAGACTAAGGGAGTTTAACAAACCTCGACTATGTCTTTTAGCGATGCAGCAGTAGGACTAAAGATGGCCATCATGGACGTCAGATATCCCGACAAATTTATCTCTCAGGAGCAGGCCACAATCCTGAAGGAGTGGTTGTTAGAACGGATACAGGAATCGGGTACTGAGGGTATTTCTCCGAGGTTTCTGGAAGACAGATTGCATGGTAGTGTCTTCTTTGTCTGCTTCGATCAGGCACAAAGAACTGGCTGGAGAAGTAGCTGGGGAGAGGCACATCACTGGCATGAATCTCAAACTCGTAGTGGCAAAGAACCTACCTTAGCCTGTAAAGACCTGATCTTTATTCAGAGTTCCAAAACCGACACGGATAAAATATTAAAGAGGATTTCGAATCAGACCAAATTTCTAAGTACAAAGAGTTGGCAAATACTCAATCAAAAAGATGACTCAAGAGGCCAATACCTTGTTATCAAAATGGACAAAGCCTCCCATAAAATAAGAGAGATCTTAACATCATCCGTTTCTAAATCTCAGCTGGGTTTCGTTCAAGCTCCTTCAAAAGAAGCAGACATCAGCTGAAGAAACTTCCGGGATGGAAGTGGAGACTGCACTGCTAGACTTCAACCTCTCAGCCCAGGAAGAAGGCCATCCTTAGGTAAACCTTCAATACCAAAGTAGTGCAAATTAATCTACATCACTGTAGAGCAATGTCATATCCCTTCAGTGCATACATGGCCAAACAAAATATCCTAGCCCCCAAGAATCCTGGAACTATAGAGGAGTGATCAGAGGTCTTGCGAGAGTCGCATCGGTGCTCTTTGGGACACCGAGTAGGAATTACAAAGAATATTCCCTCATGACATGCATTTTGGTCAGTAATATATTAAATCTGTTAACATTAAGAGAATTCTGTTGTAGAGGACTAGTGGCAAGGCTGAAGAGCGCAAAGCGAGGATACACGAGGGACATTATAGTCGTATCGGTATATCTCTCTTATGACTAGCCCGATGAATCTCCAATGAGAAAAGGCTGGTAGATTACTGCAGGACAAACAACTTGCAGTTCATTCTGGGATCATGTGATGCTAACATGCATCATATTATCTGGGGAAACAGCAACAATAGAGGTGAGAACCTCGCTGAATACTTACTAAACAAGAATACTTACTAAACTATGCTAGAGGTCTTTAACCACAATAATAATACCCCAATCTTCATAATCACGAATAGACAGGAAGTTATTGATATAACAAGGAGATAAGTGAATTGGTAAGTATCATGTCTCAGACGAGTCTACACTCTTTGATTATATATACAGGTTTGATTTAGAAATGGCAACCCTTCTAGCGTTGTTAGAAATCTTACGAACACTGAGAATAGTATTACTACAAATGAAAATTAGGGAATGCCAAGCAGGGTTAATATTCCGGAGATAGAACTGCTGGAAACTAATATGCGTACTGTCATTCTGCAGGCGTATGAAGAATACTGCTCTACAAAAGAAATGAAAGCAGCAAATAAGATCCCCTGGACGGGCGAACTCTCAAATCTTAGAAGAACAATAAGGAAACTTTTTAATAAGGCAAAGAAAACCGAAGTATGGAATGAGTATGAGACTAAACTTACGGAATACATTAAAGCCTTGCACAAGGAGAAAAAGGTCTCCTGAAAGAGACATTGTCATCAAATTGGGAGCACCGTAAGTATGCTCGATTCCAGAGGGATCTAATACACGACAATAAGAATCGTTTAAAGCTCTTAAAAAATCGGATGGGAAATACATTGTAGATGGGAAGGAGATTCTGAAGTTAATACTACAAATACATTTCCCATACTCATAGTTAACTGGAAAAAAAAGACGATCGTCAAGATCATCTTAGATAACATTAAATCCTGAGCTTCTAAGCGAGATTGGGAAACAGCCGTATCCGTGATAAACAAAAGAACACTTTGGTGGGCAATAAACAAATTTGAATCATATAATGCCTTAGAGTGTAACAGAATTATACCAGCGATGTTACAATGGGGAATTAATATCCTGGCGAGCAAACTCGTTGCTCTGTTTAAGGCTAATTAGTTCTGAGCTACATACCAGAAGCCTGGAGATGGTATTTATACTAAAAGACAAAGATAGGTATAATCTAGCAAAATCTTTTCGGCCGATAAATCTATCATCTTTCCTGCTCAAAACTTTTGAAAGAATGATAG